ATGATGATTAATCATAACTGTTTAAAAAACTAAATTTTTTAAAATAAATATGTAAAAGATAAATAGCAAATTGATGAATTAAATACTGCTGAATTTTCTCTGAATTATTTTTAAACTAGATTTTCATTTGTTTAGCATTCAATTTGGATTATGTGATGTTATCATTTTTGATGCATGCAAGTTTAATTTGCATATATATATATATATATATACATACTGGGAAAGATTGAATCAATGCTACAGTATGCAAACCTGCAATACTGAGCAGTTAAACTCATGGTATATTTGGTTGTAGGTCAATCTTTGCCTCTACATATGTAATAGATACTTATATAATATGTATATGCATTAATTGTTGCTTAATATGAAAATATCAAGCAACAAAATATTTGAATATGAATATAATTTTGGTGAAACAGATTCACCAAAATCATATTTTATAGAACAGTGTTATAAAAGTTTTGATACTAAACTAGTTGCAACTGTCAATTATTATTTAAATATATATTTTAAACCTATCTGTTCATTATTTTCTAAAGCACACAAGCAATTGTAAAAACACTACACTTTTATATAATAATTGTGTACATTCTGATAAATAACTAGTCAAGATTAAGGATAAAACTAACTAATTTATATTCAGAATCTATAGTTCATTACAGAAACTAAGTTTGATTATATATTATTGTACTATACATCATATTGATTTCAAATTAATAAATCCAATGATTATATGTATATGATTCGTTTAACAATGATCTTGTGCATTTCATAATCAAATGAATAAATTCTATTCAGATTTCTCAATTGAAACTGAGAAATATGAATAGAATTTATTCAAGGTAACAGTTTAAGCTGTCTTTTCTTTTGACAAATCAAAATAATTTGGAATAGTTTAAAATGCATTATATGTCCTCAGTACAATTATCAACATTTCCACAAAGTTTTACTTTTAAACAGGTTTTATTCTCTTTTGAAAACTTTGTGACTGTTTTGGCAAATAAATATAAAACTGTACATTTAATTATTTGGTATATATGAAGGATATTTATTTAATAAAACAATTTTTTTTTGAATTACACAAAATAATCTCTTAATTCATAATCAGTTAATTTTATGAAGTCTAATTTTCTTTTTAATTTTCAACTCATCTTCAGTAGATTAAAATGTAAACATAATTTAAAGCATCCAGTAACATTTGTGTTTAAATAATAAAAACTATTTCAGTTTTTTAAAGGTAAATTTCCTAATAGAAACTGATTATAAATGCATGTTTACTTGTTATTAAAAATATTATTGAATTTTATCCATTAAAAATATTATAATTTTTTNTATGTTTTGAATAAAATATAAAATAATAATAATGGTAATTCCATTAATTAATTAATTAATAGTGAGAAATGTGTATTCAGAAGTTTGTTTATTTTTCACATTTGAAGAAATCTGGTATACAATAATCAATGTGACAATGTTATGATAAAAAAGTGCAGCCATACCAGATCTAATGCATTCCTAAAAAATTAAAATATCAGAAATTAGATTTCTGAAAGTTTTTCCATTGTTTATCCAATAATCTACTGTCAATAATATTTATACAATAATTCCACAGTCTATCCAATAATCTCAATGAATTGTTCCCAAATGACACAAACATTAAAAAACAAGAACTGTTAGAACAAGAAGTGATAACTAATCAGATTTATCAATCCAAATTCTTGGCATGATATTAAACATTACAAACTCCAATTACCTTACTAACAAAATATGAAGTCATTAATGAAGTCATTAATAAAATTTATAAACATATTCTTTAATGAAGTCATTAAAGAATATGTTTATAAACAGTAACCCAACAACTAAGCTTGCATAGTATCCTCTATTAGGCATTGTATGTAGGGAGTCCAATATTAAAGGTACAGGCCAAAATTACACTAACATTTATAAATGAAGAAAATATTTAATACATTCCATAAAAACTACATACTTTTGTTTATTTCTCGACATAATCACCATAAACGTTGAGACATTTAACCCAGCATGACACTAGTTTAAACATCCCTTTACGGTACTGTTGCTTGTCAAGTTGCTTGATGTAGTCCAGAACGGTGTCTTCCAATTCCTCCTGATTCACAAAGAGTTTCCCTGCCAAAAATTTCTTCAAAGGTTCAAATAAATGAAAATCTTATGGGGGCTAAATTTGGACTATATGGAGGATGTTGTAGGACCTCCCAAGTCTGCTGTGCAAACCACAGTTTGATTTGATTTAGCGTGTGGAGTATAGCCCAGATTTAGCCCCCTCAGATTTTCATTTATTTGGACCTTTAAAGAAATTTTTGATGGGGAAATACTTTGCATATCAGGAGGAATTGGAAGACACCATTCTGGCTACTTCAAGCAACTTGACAAGCAACAGTACCGTAAAGGGATGTTCAAACTAGTGTCATGCTGGGATAAATGTCTCAATGTTTATGGTGATTATGTTGAAAAATAAACAAAAGTACATAGTTTTTGTGGAATGTATTAAATATTTTCTTTAATTATAAATGTTAGTGTAATTTTGGCCTGTATCTTTTAATATTGGACTCCCCTCATATATGAACTGTATTTTCTTTAATTATGCAGTATACAGCAATAAAAATATTATAATGATATTGTATATATCACATTTAAATATTTTTGTATAAAAACAGAAAAACAAGTAAAATGGCAAAACTGTATTTGGGACAAGACTATGTCTCGGAGACAGAATCACTTTGATGCTCATTCTCATTCTCCTATCTTCTTCAATATCGCTGCTTTTGAGCGCGATCGTTCAAACTTTGCCGGCCATGACCACGAGAATGTTCATGATGCATCTTCGATGAAATTAACTTATCTAATTTCAAAATTTCTCTGTTGCCTGTTGGCCTGGGTTGAATTTTTGTTGATGCGTAATGAAAAGTTCCCATTTTTGAAAAAAATAATCGTGGCTATTGTATCGTCCAAAATTATTTTTTTTATTTTGCACAAACAATATACAGTTTAACCCGATTATAATGTCATTGAATGTAACGACAACCCTAATATAACGTCAAATTTTTATCGGTCCTATGATTTTACTATACTAGATACTGTTAAAAAGAACCCACTTGTAATGACATAAAACCGTTTTAACGTCATATTTGAAGCACTCCCAAATTTACAAAATTAGATTACAAATTTTATTTAACATAGAAGAAATTATGTGTTCAGTCCTAAGGTCAGAGTTCACTTCTTAGAATGACTGCGGGTGGTACTCTCCTTTACTTGACTTCAGTGGAGTGAGGTGGCTGTTTTGCCTGTTTGTAGAAGAGAGTCGCCATTTTGTATTTTATTTTGACTCGATTCTCGGTCCCCTGACTACCTACAAGTCTGTATTTTTTATGCGCAAATGATTTCGACACCTAATACTCTGTGCCAAATATCAACTCTCGATGTGTACTCCTTCATACCTCTATGCTGGTAAGAATGAGTGGCAGTACAATTTTATAAACAAGACATAGTCTTGTCAATAATGAAATCTATTATAATGATCTGTTACGAATAATCTTGCATTGAAAAATTTTGAGAAAAATCACTAAACTAAACAACAGTAGGACACAGATAACACTATTAAAACAAAAGAAAATAGACAATGGAAACAAAGTTACCTTCTATTTCCCATTCTTTTTTACTAGCAAAACTTTCAAGTTTTTCATAAATGCACTTCAAAGAAACTCATAATACATTTATTATTTGATTCAGATGTCTGATCATTTGTACTAGAAGACATTTATTGAAGCAGGAATTCAAATAGTGATATATGGCTATATATTGGCTATCTTTTGAACCAATATCATTGTTATATTCAAACAATAACATTTTAAGACCACATTTTATATCACTTTTGTCATATTTAAAATAAATTTGCATTTCTGATAAGCTATGAAATTTTGATCATAAGAAAAAACTTAGTTAAATAATTAAATTTAAATAAATTTTGGAATTTAATGTTTTTGCAGTTTTAAATAATTTAATTAAAAATATAGACAAATATGATCATTCTCCAACACATTGCATTTAATTGCATGCACATGAGCAAGAATGAAAAAGAAATAATAATAAAATTGTTTAGTTTCTTTTTTTACTGTAGTTTATTCCTAAAGATTACAGTAACTAATGAACAAATTTAACCAAATAAAACATGGTAAATTCCATATTACAAAACACTTTTTAACAAAACTGACTCTGAAAATTTACAAATTTTAGAACATGTTTACTTTCATTATTATGATCATATCATATATATTTAATTGATTAAATATGATCATATTCATGATCATATTTATCATATTTAAATATGATCATATTCATGATCATATTTAATCAATTAAATTATTCTGAAAAAATTTTAAAAATTGTTATACAGTGGTACCTCAGGATACGAAATTAATCCGTTCCGAAACTGAGATCGTATCATAAAAATGTCGTAAGGTGGATCATCTTTTCCCATACGATTACATGTAAAACCAAATAATTCGTTCCAACGCGAAAAACATACTCAAATTAAAGCCAAGTAATACATTAAAAAAAATAACTGTAGTAAGAAAAACAAATGAAAAATGCGAACTAATGTAACGTCGTATGATGAGTTTTTGTTCGTATCGTGGAGCAAAAATATGTTCGAATTTCATGTCGTATCCTGAAAATTTCGTATGCTGGGGCGTTCGTAACCCGAGGTACCACTGTACTTTAATTATTACTTCATCTGTAAGTATAATATATGACAGAATATTTTGTATTTAAATTTCAGATTTATAGAGCACACAAACTTTAACTATTCTTTTCTTAATACAAGCAAAATTTTAATTAAGAAAACTAAATTTTAAATTCTTAATAAAGCTTATTTATAAATTTTATATATCCTGTCCAAAAACCGCAATAACAAGTGGATAAATATGTAACACAATTTTTATGATCACAACTTGTAGTAAAAACACTACCATGATTTGTTTTTCCAGCATCATCATCTTCCAGTCGTATCTTTTTTGCTGTTTGGTTTTCTCCATCTTCACCATCACTTAATTCCATTTCAAACTCTTCTCGTTCATTAAGAACTTCTTCAAGTTGAGCATTTTTTATTTCCTATCATTTCATACAAATTTTATACTTTTTATATTTTGCAAACAAATCATTATTAATAAATTATTATTTATATATTATAATTAATTTTTTTCTGCAGAGTAAATCTTAAGAAATACTTCCTTCACTCACATAAATTTAATAATATATCTACAATGCATATCATCATTTATGGCCTGATATTTCATGTTCTCACCTGTTTTGGTCCTGTTCCAATAAAATCTGGTACTATATTTTTGCTGGATGTTTAACATATTTTATATAGTACTCACCTTTACAAATACGATCTTTACAAATATGAGAAGTTTCATATGATAAGACAAATCTGAATAATGATTATTATTTATAACTAATATTTTACATGAAAATATTTAGAAAAGAATATTTTTATATCATGTTTACTGTTAAAGTCCACAAACACTAAAACAAGTAACAGGAATCATGTTTGTTTTTGTGATAAAATGTTTTACAAAATCTGTTGCCTCATTGTCAGATCCTATAAGTTTCGGAATCAAACTAAAACATGGCAAGTGTTTCAAAGTTAACATCGATGAGAGAAACAATGTTGTAATGTTTTAGTTTGATTCAGAAATTTGTAAGATCTGACGACAAAGTAAACAGGTCTTGAAAAACATTTTACCACAAAAACAGACATGACTTCTCTACTTGTTTTAGTGTTTGTAGACTTTACTTTAATTTCTTAGAGAGTCAGTAAACATGAAAAATAATATACAAGTTATTAAAACTGAATTTCAAGAAAATAGTAATCACAGTTTTGTCTTATCATATAATATAATCCACTAATTAAATTTTACCATATTTTGTTATTATTATTTGTACAAATATATGTTTGCTTGGTCTTATTTCTTCTTATGCATGGACAATTGTCTTTGCTTAAAGCTACATTACTACAGAACTATAGCAAGTACAAAGCAGTCTTTTTTAAATTCATAACAGAGTATTAATAAAAATAAAATTTGAATTATTATTGATAACTGAAAATCACAAAGAAATGGGTAAATAATAAATATTTAAATACAACACAAATTGAGATTACTTTGAATTTCAAAAAAAATGCTTTATTAAAATATAAATTAAAATTGTAAATAAGATAATATTTATGGTTTACAACTTGCCTAACTTTAAAAAAAAAAAAAAAACCTAGTTTTTCTGTGTTAAATAAACATTTTAATACCAAAAAACTGAGTTTTTCTTCACTTTGAGTTATATACTATATCAATCATTTTTTGATCCTTAACTTTCATAAATGGACCATCATCATCATTATTATTATTATTATTATATTTTCTGTGTGATAGCTTCAAATCAATCTATAGTATATTAAATTTATTTATGATGATTAATCATAACTGTTTAAAAAACTAAATTTTTTAAAATAAATATGTAAAAGATAAATAGCAAATTGATGAATTAAATACTGCTGAATTTTCTCTGAATTATTTTTAAACTAGATTTTCATTTGTTTAGCATTCAATTTGGATTATGTGATGTTATCATTTTTGATGCATGCAAGTTTAATTTGCATATATATATATATATATATATATATACATACTGGGAAAGATTGAATCAATGCTACAGTATGCAAACCTGCAATACTGAGCAGTTAAACTCATGGTATATTTGGTTGTAGGTCAATCTTTGCCTCTACATATGTAATAGATACTTATATAATATGTATATGCATTAATTGTTGCTTAATATGAAAATATCAAGCAACAAAATATTTGAATATGAATATAATTTTGGTGAAACAGATTCACCAAAATCATATTTTATAGAACAGTGTTATAAAAGTTTTGATACTAAACTAGTTGCAACTGTCAATTATTATTTAAATATATATTTTAAACCTATCTGTTCATTATTTTCTAAAGCACACAAGCAATTGTAAAAACACTACACTTTTATATAATAATTGTGTACATTCTGATAAATAACTAGTCAATATTAAGGATAAAACTAACTAATTTATATTCAGAATCTATAGTTCATTACAGAAACTAAGTTTGATTATATATTATTGTACTATACATCATATTGATTTCAAATTAATAAATCCAATGATTATATGTATATGATTCGTTTAACAATGATCTTGTGCATTTCATAATCAAATGAATAAATTCTATTCAGATTTCTCAATTGAAACTGAGAAATATGAATAGAATTTATTCAAGGTAACAGTTTAAGCTGTCTTTTCTTTTGACAAATCAAAATAATTTGGAATAGTTTAAAATGCATTATATGTCCTCAGTACAATTATCAACATTTCCACAAAGTTTTACTTTTAAACAGGTTTTATTCTCTTTTGAAAACTTTGTGACTGTTTTGGCAAATAAATATAAAACTGTACATTTAATTATTTGGTATATATGAAGGATATTTATTTAATAAAACAATTTTCTTTTGAATTACACAAAATAATCTCTTAATTCATAATCAGTTAATTTTATGAAGTCTAATTTTCTTTTTAATTTTCAACTCATCTTCAGTAGATTAAAATGTAAACATAATTTAAAGCATCCAGTAACATTTGTGTTTAAATAATAAAAACTATTTCAGTTTTTTAAAGGTAAATTTCCTAATAGAAACTGATTATAAATGCATGTTTACTTGTTATTAAAAATATTATTGAATTTTATCCATTAAAAATATTATAATTTTTTATATTCACTTAGAAATAAATTAATAAAAAATAACCTATTAAAATAATTATAATTTATCAGATTAATCAATTTAACTTAAATGGCATTAACACATTACCAAAGATAGTGAAACTAAGATATAATGCAATCTGGAAATGGCAGAAAGTAAGTTTGTTTAGTTTATGCTTCATAATGACTATTTATTTAGTTTTATTACAAATATTCACAATAATAAGAAATTATTCAGTAAGTTAAGCCCAAATTGTAATTGGTAATGCATCTACAAAGTAAGCAAGGATTGCTAGTTCAAGCCCTACTCCAGATTGATCTTTTCTTACAGAATGTTCTAAATTAATTTAATTAATTTTAATTATTAAATTTAATACAAGATGATGGCTTAATCACCTTTAGTCCAAATTTATAAAGTAATTTAGACTAAAGGTAATTAAACAGAAAAATATTCTGATTAGTTAATAAGTGACAATTATCTAATTTGATTTTAACTTATTTTCAATTTTTTATTTTAATTTTATATTCAATTATATCTTAATAAGACTTATCCTAAATATAAGTTATAATTTTATTATTTGTTTATTCCAATTGAATATAATTTACAATTTTTTTAATAGAATTTTTGACTTAAAAATAAATTTGACTTGAAAAACTTAATAAGTTTTTCAAGTCAAATTTATTTATTTCGGCAGACATTCCCAAAAGTGTTTTTTTACCAATCTTGACATATTAAATTTAAATGTACTGCCTAGAATAGTATCTCATTTAATTTTACTTTTGATTTTTTATGATTTATAACATGAAATAAAAATTTAATTAATGATGAATGTAAATACTGTAGTTTTGCAAAGGACAAAGCTCAATGATATTTTTAATGAGAACAAATATACATACATGATACTAATTTTACACTTGAAATATCTGTACTTATTAGTTATATACTGTATTTTATAAATACTTATATGCAAACTGGATGACCCCATAAAATGCTAGAAGAAACTATAATGCTAGAAACAGTAAAGGATTCCACTTCTAATAAATTGAAGATAGAATGAAAGCTTTAAAAAACATTTTACATTATATAAAAAAATAGACTGATTTAAGTCACAAATGCAGATTGTAAATAATATCATGAGTTCAAAATAATTTGTGATTAAACTATTTACAATTTTCAGTGATTTTTTAATAAAAAAAATTGATTGATTGATGATTTAGTTGAATAGATTTTTGATTTGTATGATTTTATGTTAAAGATTTTCTTATTATAACTAAAAGCAGATATGAAAAAAGCAAATGCATCTTATGTACAACTAGCAGACCCCGCCACGCGTTGTTGTGACTAAAAATGCATCTATTATAAATGTATAACACTTTCCCCATGGGGGAGAATTTTTCGAAAAATCCCTTCTTAGTGTACATTCTCTTGACGTACCCTATTAAAATGCAAAAAACCGCATCTAAAATAGTATAATAGAAGCCAAGTTCTTTACGGTAAGCCTTAATCCTAACCATCTCCCCCCCCCAGTTGGAGGAATTTTGACACGTATATTATATAAAAACACATGCGTATTCGAATGCAGCGTTGTGTCAAAATTTCAAAGGAATCGGTAGGAACAAACGAACATTACATTTTATTTATATAGATAGATAGATGATCTGCTTTAGTTATTTTCACAGAAAAGCAAACTTAGGGCATCGTACTTGTAGTGCCATCTGTTGGACATAAAAGCCTTAACCTAGATGATATCTTTTAATTTATATGAATGTTTACCGGAATAATATACAGCCCTGAAGTTCCATTCTAAATATTGGTGAAAGAATTTTTGAAATCGGATGAATAGTTTCGGAGATTACCCGCTACATCCAAACATTACCTCTTTATAATATTAGTATAGATTAAAAGTTTTTAAATCTTATTTGAAAATTGATTTAATATTCTTCTAGATAAATGCAAGCAAAAAATGAATATAAATTTCTCAATATATAATATTTATTTCAAAACTTACATTTGGGATAACTTAGCAAGGATTTTATTTAATAAAATGAAAATTGTCAAGCAAATTTATAAGCATGCTCAACAAAATTTTTAATAGAAAATAAAAAGCCTGCTATGTTAAATTTTTACTCAAGTTCTGAAAAATTTATATCAAAATCTATATTCATTTGTTTATTTTTCATAATGTTCACTTTTTTTTTTTTTTTTTTTTATAAAAGACTGCTCTGCCAGATGGAAGTTCCTTACCTCTGTTTGCTTTTGCCAAGAATCGATGTTTTTCCTTTGGGCCTTCGTAAAGTGATCCCAGACTTTCTGATGGTTGGCTGCCACAAATACCTTCTCAATCTGATTGACTTGAGAGGAGGTGAGAGAAAGTGTGGTTAACATTGTGCCACAGAGGCACTAACAGACCAGGAAGTATAGTAATAAAATAAAATTTCATTCATACTCACAATTTTCCATTTCCTCTACACACACATAGGTTAAATGAACTATGACAATATTAATATACCATACTACTATGTTCAATTTTCCAATATATTATAATAAATCTATTAATTTTATTATTTCTGATTATTAATTTAAAATAATGTTTTTTTTAAAAAAACATTTCTATACTTTTTCAATAAATCTTTAATTGAAAGTTAGAATTTTTTAAAGTAATTTTCTTCTTTACCTTTTTCTGATACAGAGCTTCCAAGGATATGTGATGCTAACTTTAAACATGCCCAAATTTAGATTATTATTACTACAAATAATAATCACTACTTGAAAATTTTGAATTTAACAAATAATATTTTGGTTTCAAAATTATAGATTGCATCATATAAATTATATTAATAGAATACTAAAGGTCAACAGAATATAAATTTATTTTCAAGATCATCATCATCATCATCAGGAGGGTATAAATTATATTTTTAAATAGCTCTAAATTGCAATCATTATATATTATCTAAACAGGGATAACTAAATATTAAATAGTGATTAGTAGAAATGCTTTCAGATGTTGATTTTCAAAAACAATGCTTATTGTAAAACGTGATGTCTTGTTGATAAAGGCTGTCTTTAAAAATGAAGTATTCTATATACTCATGATTGAATTAGAAGAAATAGTTTAAAAGAAATTTGAAGAAATAGGAATCCTGCATGTAAACTTTTTAAACTAAGAGATTTAACAAATATTCCTTTTGTTAAACTTAAAATTTTTATAGTGATGATTTACATGAAGATTTAAGTTCCTTAAGTGTGAAAAGTGACTATTTATCATTTGTGTTTCTTGCTAGTATAACACACAGTTAACTCTCAATAAATCAAACTTCATTAAGTCAAATTCTCGCTAAATTGAATTATATTTTTTCTCAGATTTAAATCCCATAAATTCAATATATTTTGTATCTCTAAGTCAAAATGGTTTTAAGAATCAATTTCTGTCTGTATCCTTGTCTATTTGGATCTTGTTTATTAATAGGACTTATTACACTAGTGTAGTTTCCAATTAGCAAATAGAGGAGATCTTAGTCAAAAAGTCAAAACAAAATATCTTTATTTTCACCTGGTAAAATAATAAAGATATTTTGTTTTGACTTTTTGACTAAGATCTCCTCTATTTGCTAATTGGAAACTACACCAGTGTAATAAGCAGGGCCGGATCATCGCATAGACAAATGAGACAAATGTCTAGGGCCCGGTTTTTAAAAGGGCCCGGTTAAATTGTTTATTTTGAAAGATATTGATGAAATTTTTAAAATTCTTAATACAAACATAACGGACGGCGACAACGAGGACGTATCAATTAACACTGCATTGCTAAAAAAGTGGTACAGTGGCAATATTGATACAGAAGAATTGAACTAGGAATTGTTGCAATTTAAATTAATTTGCAAAAGCCAAAAATTAACGTTGCCATCTGATATGCTGCAATTTATAAAGAGCACAAAACTAGTATCAACATTTCCAAATATAGAAATAATATTGCGAATATATTTAACTTTGCCTATATCAAATGCATCTGATGAAAGGTCATTCTCAGTAGTAAAACGTGTAAAAAATTATTTACTAAACTCACTGAGTGAATCAAAANACTTTTTATATTTTGCAAACAAATCATTATTAATAAATTATTATTTATATATTATAATTAATTTTTTTCTGCAGAGTAAATCTTAAGAAATACTTCCTTCACTCACATAAATTTAATAATATATCTACAATGCATATCATCATTTATGGCCTGATATTTCATGTTCTCACCTGTTTTGGTCCTGTTCCAATAAAATCTGGTACTATATTTTTGCTGGATGTTTAACATATTTTATATAGTACTCACCTTTACAAATACGATCTTTACAAATATGAGAAGTTTCATATGATAAGACAAATCTGAATAATGATTATTATTTATAACTAATATTTTACATGAAAATATTTAGAAAAGAATATTTTTATATCATGTTTACTGTTAAAGTCCACAAACACTAAAACAAGTAACAGGAATCATGTTTGTTTTTGTGATAAAATGTTTTACAAAATCTGTTGCCTCATTGTCAGATCCTATAAGTTTCGGAATCAAACTAAAACATGGCAAGTGTTTCAAAGTTAACATCGATGAGAGAAACAATGTTGTAATGTTTTAGTTTGATTCAGAAATTTGTAAGATCTGACGACAAAGTAAACAGGTCTTGAAAAACATTTTACCACAAAAACAGACATGACTTCTCTACTTGTTTTAGTGTTTGTAGACTTTACTTTAATTTCTTAGAGAGTCAGTAAACATGAAAAATAATATACAAGTTATTAAAACTGAATTTCAAGAAAATAGTAATCACAGTTTTGTCTTATCATATAATATAATCCACTAATTAAATTTTACCATATTTTGTTATTATTATTTGTACAAATATATGTTTGCTTGGTCTTATTTCTTCTTATGCATGGACAATTGTCTTTGCTTAAAGCTACATTACTACAGAACTATAGCAAGTACAAAGCAGTCTTTTTTAAATTCATAACAGAGTATTAATAAAAATAAAATTTGAATTATTATTGATAACTGAAAATCACAAAGAAATGGGTAAATAATAAATATTTAAATACAACACAAATTGAGATTACTTTGAATTTCAAAAAAAATGCTTTATTAAAATATAAATTAAAATTGTAAATAAGATAATATTTATGGTTTACAACTTGCCTAACTTTAAAAAAAAAAAAAACCTAGTTTTTCTGTGTTAAATAAACATTTTAATACCAAAAAACTGAGTTTTTCTTCACTTTGAGTTATATACTATATCAATCATTTTTTGATCCTTAACTTTCATAAATGGACCTTCATCATCATTATTATTATTATTATTATATTTTCTGTGTGATAGCTTCAAATCAATCTATAGTATATTAAATTTATTTATGATGATTAATCATAACTGTTTAAAAAACTAAATTTTTTAAAATAAATATGTAAAAGATAAATAGCAAATTGATGAATTAAATACTGCTGAATTTTCTCTGAATTATTTTTAAACTAGATTTTCATTTGTTTAGCATTCAATTTGGATTATGTGATGTTATCATTTTTGATGCATGCAAGTTTAATTTGCATATATATATATATATATATACATACTGGGAAAGATTGAATCAATGCTACAGTATGCAAACCTGCAATACTGAGCAGTTAAACTCATGGTATATTTGGTTGTAGGTCAATCTTTGCCTCTACATATGTAATAGATACTTATATAATATGTATATGCATTAATTGTTGCTTAATATGAAAATATCAAGCAACAAAATATTTGAATATGAATATAATTTTGGTGAAACAGATTCACCAAAATCATATTTTATAGAACAGTGTTATAAAAGTTTTGATACTAAACTAGTTGCAACTGTCAATTATTATTTAAATATATATTTTAAACCTATCTGTTCATTATTTTCTAAAGCACACAAGCAATTGTAAAAACACTACACTTTTATATAATAATTGTGTACATTCTGATAAATAACTAGTCAATATTAAGGATAAAACTAACTAATTTATATTCAGAATCTATAGTTCATTACAGAAACTAAGTTTGATTATATATTATTGTACTATACATCATATTGATTTCAAATTAATAAATCCAATGATTATATGTATATGATTTGTTTAACAATGATCTTGTGCATTTCATAATCAAATGAATAAATTCTATTCAGATTTCTCAATTGAAACTGAGAAATATGAATAGAATTTATTCAAGGTAACAGTTTAAGCTGTCTTTTCTTTTGACAAATCAAAATAATTTGGAATAGTTTAAAATGCATTATATGTCCTCAGTACAATTATCAACATTTCCACAAAGTTTTACTTTTAAACAGGTTTTATTCTCTTTTGAAAACTTTGTGACTGTTTTGGCAAATAAATATAAAACTGTACATTTAATTATTTGGTATATATGAAGGATATTTATTTAATAAAACAATTTTTTTTTGAATTACACAAAATAATCTCTTAATTCATAATCAGTTAATTTTATGAAGTCTAGTTTTCTTTTTAATTTTCAACTCATCTTCAGTAGATTAAAATGTAAACATAATTTAAAGCATCCAGTAACATTTGTGTTTAAATAATAAAAAGTATTTCAGTTTTTTAAAGGTAAATTTCCTAATAGAAACTGATTATAAATGCATGTTTACTTGTTATTAAAAATATTATTGAATTTTATCCATTAAAAATATTATAATTTTTTTATATTCACTTAGAAATAAATTAATAAAAAATAACCTATTAAAATAATTATAATTTATCAGATTAATCAATTTAACTTAAATGGCATTAACACATTACCAAAGATAGTGAAACTAAGATATAATGCAATCTGGAAATGGCAGAAAGTAAGTTTGTTTAGTTTATGCTTCATAATGACTATTTATTTAGTTTTATTACAAATATTCACAATAATAAGAAATTATTCAGTAAGTTAAGCCCAAATTGTAATTGGTAATGCATCTACAAAGTAAGCAAGGATTGCTAGTTCAAGCCCTACTCCAGATTGATCTTTTCTTACAGAATGTTCTAAATTAATTTAATTAATTTTAATTATTAAATTTAATACAAGATGATGGCTTAATCACCTTTAGTCCAAATTTATAAAGTAATTTAGACTAAAGGTAATTAAACAGAAAAATATTCTGATTAGTTAATAAGTGACAATTATCTAATTTGATTTTAACTTATTTTCAATTTTTTATTTTAATTTTATATTCAATTATATCTTAATAAGACTTATCCTAAATATAAGTTATAATTTTATTATTTGTTTATTCCAATTGAATATAATTTACAATTTTTTTAATAGAATTT